TTTTTTTTTTTTTTTTTTTTTTTTTTTTTTTTTTTTTTTTTGTTTTGAAAAAACTTGAGAAAACAGCAACCGCTTCGTTTAAAAATTAATAATTTTTACTTTTATTATTCATAGCAATAAAAATAACTTTAAAATTTTCCGAAATTTCGGGAGCGGACTGCTCCTATACTCAAGACATCCTAATAATTCTTACGTTACCCTGCGTTATTACCATATTTAGAGGAAATTTAATTTCAGACGTTCCTCATCGTTCATCTTATACATAGCTCGTTTTGGTGTGTTAACGAGGTATTAAATTTGTCAATACTCGTGGGAAAAATACAGGTTACCGGGCTGAAAAGACAGTTTTTTTTTTCATCCTCATAAAATTCGAGATGAAACAGTTTCCTCTCGCTTTACGACGTCTGGGCAGTTCAAAAGCCAGCGGCGAGGCGTGCAACGACTATCGATGTTTTTCTATTTGAAGCTATGATAAAGAATCGATTATTGAGTGTTTCTTCGCGAACACCATGATAGCCATTTTTCATGGGGATGAATGGCAGATTAATCGATACATCGCAAAGCACGGCACGCCATTATCAAAAACGTTCTCAAATCGATTCTACCCCGCATGATTTCAGGTAGACTAAACCTGGTTCCCTCAGTGCCTCAACTAGGAATCCAAGTATTGGGGCTGTAAACCACTTCATTCCAAACAACCCACCTATCTCATAGCTGACACCCAAAGGCAAGAGCGTCGTTATCGCACCTCAAACTTGAGCCACATTGCGCATGGATTTATACACATTTTAAGGTTCACATAAAAATGCAGATGCAATTTTTTAACGTGGGACTCGGCTCAATTACTGCTAGAAAACGGAAACAAGGGAAATCGCATCCGCATGACATTTTATTGGGTGGCCGGGATAGGTTCTTCTCGTCACTTGAGGGAATGTTTTTTTAAGCGATGTAATCTCTTGAGCCGTACTCTCTGAGTTGGGCTGTGCGTTTTGAGGCTCATGAGTTTGGCGGGACGAGAGGTTTATCCCCGACACTTCACTTATGGCCGCCACACGAAATCCCACTCGAGGACTCCTCGCGAGGCTTACTTACAGCGCATGCGCGCGGGCAATTAAGTAAAAAGTATCATGTTATATGCCAAATCTCGGTTTGTTTTGCCCCTTTTCACGCTTGGCTTGGGGAGCCACAAAGAAGACGCTTTCACGGTGCGCTCTATTAAACGGCCCTATTATTAGCCGGAGTTGCTCAAGTGCCATTCTCACGGTGCGCTGCGCGGCGGACAATCGAGGGAGCGGACCAATGGGGGCCCGTGTAGGCGGGGCCTAGCTCCGCGGCGCATGCGTTCTCGTTTCGAAAAAAGAGGAGTAGTTCACGTCTACCGTTTTAGTAGTTTCTCGCCTTCCGCTAGGACACTTGTTCCTCCTGCTACAGTTTATGATAGGGAAAAAGTGGTTGCTCGTTCCTCGCCCCCTGCTTGCGTGCGTGCGTTTCTTCCTCGGCCGTTTGGATTTAAGTTGTTTTATGTTCACGTACCCACGGACTGTGTGTGTGTTTTCTTGTGCCCAAAATTGTGATCAACATTTCTCAGCCACGCAATATGGCACCAGATGTTTCCCGCATTTCTCGCAGAGGTAATTAATGCATACGTCTTCTTAACATGTTGAAATTAAATGAGAACGTATTGATTGCTCGCTAGTAAGAAATATTAATTAATTTTTGTAGTTAAGACCTTCCATTCTTGCCAGCACCTGATTCTAGTCACGATTCTGTTGAATTTAGTAGCTATGTTCTCATGTGGTTTCAACTGCAAACTTTCCATTAAGTTCATTTAATCTATTGAGTAGAGTATTCTTTCGATATTTTCTCTGAGGTTTCAACTGTCAATCGCCACTATGACTTTAAATAGGGTAGGTACTGAAATTAAGTGACTAAGCGATCCAATAACGGCATTCTAAATTGTTCATAAAAATATCTGCAGTTTAGTCACTGTAAAATTTTGTTCATGGAGTTATCACGGCTTCCCAAATTCTGTAATATCTCAACTCATCAATTGCTATAAATCTTGAGGATTTTCTCTAGGTAAGACAAGAATAAATTGACTCCATATTTGCGAAACAAGGAATGTGTCCCGATTTAGTTAACACAGTTTTCCTAGTTTCTCTCTAGGAGAAGTCGGCTTAAACAAAATCGTTTCATTATGGACCAAGAGTATTTAACTCTATCAACGATGACAATCAGTGAATATTGTTGTTGCAAACACTCTGTAATTGATTAGTCAATACATTCATCCAAGTCATTCACAATTAACTTAAACTTAATTTAGTAAACTTGTGCCCGCAATTCCATGTCCGATCCAGATAATCCTTACAAAACTCAGGGGGTGCGTTTAACTGAGTCACGAATCTCAAATCGGATTTTGAATCCTTGCCCGACCAGTCTTTAACTACAATTCTGTTAAAATCGGAACGCTTATTTACATCAACATATTTTAAAAAAATAACACCAACATTTATCAAGTTATACTACGATTCAGACAATTTCAACGGTTCGATGATAAGATGCATGCAAAACTACGCGGCGGTCAAATTGAAATCTAGGGTCATTTTATATGATCAGTCGGAAGAAATAATTAATTTGTGAATTGATTTGTCAAGGTTCACGTGTGTACGTGAACAGGTTGTTTACCACGGTTTGAACCGTGAATTGCATCTGTTTACCAATTAGCAAATTTCCTCATAGACAATTCAAAATTTGTCAGTAACATAGTGAATTCCGAATGGGTTTTACCGCGCTAGAATCTAGCTTTGTTAGTATCCACCATTGGTTCCCTTCAAATCGCGGAATCAACTGCTTGAGGACTAATTACGGGCTATTGTTGAATGTGTTGCACTTGAATTCGTATTTCAACCTTGGAAGGATTTATGCTTCGGCACGAAGATTCTCCGAGTGCCGCAACCGTTACAACAACCGACGAATTGTAGTCTCCGAAATTAATGCAGATGCGGTTTTTCTTGACGCGCGTTCAAGTCTTTTGCATCATAACTGTGTTACAAATGTCAAATGCAGTTATTATGCAATACAGAATTTAACCGTCTTATTATTCTCGTTTTTTTTTTCAAACGACGCAAAAAGTGAGCAAAGCAAGCGTTTACTTGCAAATGCAATTATCACGCTATACAGCAAGTGGACATGCATTTACGGCAAGGAATTGCTTCTATTCCAAGGGACTCTCTTTGAAAACGCGCTACTTTCGGAATATCCCAATATAGGTTTCATATTGCATGGTAATGCTTATCAAATTCATTGAAATTACGTTCAACCCTTCCAAAATTAGTTATAATCTAGCATGTGATAAGTTTGATTATATTGTTTGAAGAGGGCAAACGAACGAAAAGTGAGTAGAAGCTCAGTTGCAGTTAAGCCTAATTTTCCGCAGCTCAAACTGGTCATACAATGCTTGTGCCATTGCACCCAAATTTTCTTTATTGCACCGAATCCAGATAAATAGGACGAGCCGGGAGATGATATACAAGACATTGTGGATATTTTTCCCTCCAAGGCCTTATCGTGTCGGTTGATGTATCCAGTGCAATCATTTTTTCAAAAATAATCGTCGGTTGACGAATTCAGTGTACACTGCACTTGATTGCCTCTGATTGTCCCTCAATCAGAGCGTGTTTCTCTTTTTGGCTCTAGAAAATTCTAAAGATGGAATCTAGTCAGTTTCAAACGAGAGCTAGGGTTTCCAATGTTAAACGCAATAAATTCGCCAATCAATAAGCTTTTAATAATTTTAAATACTCGAAAGTTAAATACAAATCATTTCGAAGGAGTATATATGGGCGTATTTCTGCCAAACGGAACTATATCCATTAAGACGTGAGCCCTGTTATGCATATATTCTTATGGGTTTCAGGGCTCATGTCTCAGCGCGCATAGCTCCGTTTGGCAGAAATACGTTCACACGATCACTCGCTTCATCAGAACTTGTTGCATGAACTGATAATTGTTATTTTTCCTCAACTTATTTGTATTATTTTTGTATGTTACAGAGCTTGAGAACGTGTCGGAACTTGTGACAGTGAAGCAAGAGCAAGGCGTTATCCTGACCCCTCCTCACACCCCAACGATGGATTCATCGAGTCCGCGAATCAAAAGCGAAGAGTCTGCGATGGCCCCGGACATGTCGCAGCTAGAGCAGATGCGTCAGAGCATGTTCAACCAGCTGCCCTGCTACTACCCCCCGAGTGGGGTCTCCCCGAAGCAGTCGGCTTTCTCGCCGTGCCCCCAGCTCCCGTTCTGCCCGAAAACGGATCTCGGCCACGTGTACCCCGGCCTGGAGGCCAACTTGGAGTCGGCCAACCTCCCCTTCTACCTGCCCTTCGGCTCGGTGAACCCGCAGAACGTCCACCAGATCAAGGAGTTCGTGTCCAGGATGATGTACTGGAACAGCGTGTCCGCGCTCGTGCCCTCGCAACAGTCGATGCGCATGGCCGCCAGGTGCGCCAACGCCTCTGCTCTCAAGTTCAACCGGAGTGTTGCTGGTGGCGTCGTCGGCGGCAAAGGCGCCAAGGCCCCCGGATCCACCCGGCCCAAGAAGAGGTTCATCTGTAAATACTGCAATCGGGAGTTCTCCAAGTCGTACAACCTCCTCATCCACGAGAGGACACACACCGATGAGAGACCCTACAGCTGTGATATCTGCGGAAAGGCCTTCCGCAGGCAGGATCATCTTAGAGACCATAGGTAAGCAATCAGTTCAATACTTAGTTGCCTCTTCTATAAGATTCACTTGAGCTCTTTTCATCATGCAATTTATCAAGTCTGAGATTATTTTACAATCGAAAATTTTCTGAAAATTTAAATAAAAATTAAAAATTGTCTGCTCTCCGTTTACCTCGATTGTTTCTTCAATTGCAATTGAGAATTGTATCTTTTAAGCACCGTGTGTAATATGAAAACTATGACTGAACCTACTAAACACCAAATATTCATCAATGCAATCAACTAGAGTAGGTCTAATCGCATTTCACTTAGCTCTATTTTCTCCTGCTAACTTTGTACACGAAAACAAAGCAAAATAACGCATTAAAACTTCCCATGAAATTGTCTTATATTTTAAAAAGTACGCTCGTAAAATGTCAATCCAGAGTATTGCTTAGTTTACTTTTAAAATGATAAATTAAAACATGAAAGGAAATAAAGCATTATGGGATTAGACTGTCTCTGGTTGATGCAGTTCATTTTGTTCAAAAAAAAACTTCCAAGCTGAGAAAAAGTCGCGCAGCGACGCGATGGGCGCCAAGAAAAAGTGTGCGAGCTCGGCTAGAGGTCGGACGGTTAACATTAGCCACGGCGCAGCAACTATTCCACCTCGAGTGATATGTGGTATTGCATAACTTTCGGGCGTTTTAAGAGGAGCTCTTTCCCAGTGTTAGCTCAGATTTGCTCTTGTCGCAGTTTTATTCAGTTTCCACACCCAATTTTTCTTTTATTTTCCAATCCTCTTATTTAAGTTTATTTTCTTTTCCCTGCACAACCAGATTGGCTGATTAAAGGTTCTTTTTTTTACCGTCCGAAATTTATTTTCAAGAGTTGCAAATTATTTGAAAAAATTGTGATTTTTTTTGGGAGGGGGGGGTGGATTACATGATTGGCTGATGGTCGATATTGTAGATTTTTTACATTCAATTAAAAACAGTGAAACTGTCAACATTTTGACAAGGATGTAAACACTTGTAAACACTTCTTTTTAATTGTATCCCTTTGATAATGGGACGTTTAGGACTAAAAAAATTTCCGGCTTTTCCAAAAAACCCAATTTTCATCCTACCTAACCATATTTTGTGTGTGTTTTTACTACCCTTCTTTTCTTTTTAAAAATGAATTTCTTTGCCGCCTTTAATTTAGGAAATATATTTTTTACAACATGCGAAGTCGTTATCCGTGAATTTGGCGCTAATTTTTCGCATTCTTTTTTTGTTACAGGTACATCCATTCAAAAGACAAGCCCTACAGATGCGAAGAGTGCGGGAAAGGCTTCTGCCAATCACGGACTCTGGCCGTTCATCAAAACCATCACAAGGACGTGCCCCCGCACAGCTGCAATATCTGCGGTCGTCGCTTCAACCAAAAGTCCAACTTGAGGACCCACGAACTCACCCACCACCACCCGCGGCCCGAAAGCGCCGACCAACCCTTGGCTCTACATCGGCCCGCACCCCAGGAGTCCTCTGAACCCCGGCCTAAGCTTGGATTCTCCATCGAGGATATCATGAGACGCCGGTAGATATCCTTTTGTTGGTCTCCTTTCGTTTTTCTTGTTTGTGTTCTAGTTGCATCTCTGTGCTCTGATACTTCCCCTTTTACATTTTCATTTTAAAACACTCACGTGCTAGCTCATGTTTGAACTTACCATCATGCTTGGATTTGAATAATTTCTGCTGTTCATTCTGGTTTTAATTTTGCTTATTGATGCTCGGGTTTTTTTGTCAAACTTCTCCAATTATTTTGTTCATTTTCTAATTTGGAGCACAACGCATCATTTATGCCGGTGTTCGTTTTGTTCTTCAAATTCTCATCATAATCTATGTATCTGGGGAAGAATCTATGTGTAAGTTTTAACGCTGACTCCTTTACAGCACACAAAAGTTTCTTGGAGATGTACTCTAAACATGGTCTCAGCTAGTCCTCATTATTTTCTTTTCCTAAAAATTTATTCGTTGTTTTGTCTTGTACCTACGTATTTGTTAAATTTACTCCTAAGATTTTGTAAAATAGATTTTACTCTTGATACTTTGCAAAGTATGACATACGTCTTTTTAAAATTTGGCCTCACGACCGTTAAAAATTAAACCCTACATTGATTAATTTGCGCCCACCCATAAAATTCGAGTGTTTATCAATATCTTCTTTGATTTTTCACTTTGCTCAGGAGATATTATAACATTTCAATTTCAATTCTTAAATATTTCGAGCCCCATCACAGCACAATTATTCGATGTCTCCATCAAATCTCAGCAAAATTATTTTAGTAGCTACGTTCAAGCTTATGACACTCTTATAATAATCAATGGACCAAAGAACTCTTGACTGATCGTAGATAAGCCAATTTTAGGTAAGGTTTTATTAGGTTTAAGGTTTAGTATGCTTATGTTACCAAGTTCCATATTCTCATGTCAACTACCTCTTCTGCACTTATCCTCTGATCTCTGATAGGTAATTTGAATTTGAAGTAAAATCATCCCAATCTGCTTTGTTTCTCCTCTTCGAACGCTCTTAAAGCATTTTAACTACTATTTATTTCATTTTAAAATGTAAAAATATTTTCATGATTACAAATTCGACACGAATTTCTCAAAAAAGCTGGTTCTTTTAAAATATAGCAGTGAATAGAAGAATATACAAGTATACTCATTCAACAATTTTTTCTAGAAATGCCCGGTGAACTATAACATGTTTTAGTTAGAATTTAAAATAAAACTGTTTCCAGAACGTATAGAAGACCGTACTATTTCCATCTAAGTCTTGAGCGGTTCGCTTTTGGTGAATTTCCAGCAATAGTTCTACTTTATGTTTACAATTTTTCCGATATTCATTCACTGATGTTCAAACTGTTACTGACGGTATAATGACTTAAAATGCAATTCAAACTTACAATTTTGTTCTGTAACCGGCAATTTCAATTTTCAATGAAAAATTAATTGTAAAATTTACTTTTCATTTACGGTGCATTCGATTTAGGTCTTAAAATAATTTGTAAATATTTCTTCTATTTCCTCTTTGTAAAAATAATGTAAATGCCCTTATTCTTTTTTAAGAAATACTTGTTGTTTAGTATGAATTTGTTGTAAAGTAGTCACAGAAATATCGTTATTTATTTATTATGTACGGAAAGAAAATTTTAAATAAAAAAAAATAATTATGAATGCAAATGATTGTTTTCTCTATTTTATCTGACTAAGTTAACGTATCGAAAATCCTTATTCCAAGTATTATGCTTCTTTTTTGGTTTGATCTCCATTCAGAAAATCAGTATTACTTTGATACTTCCTTAATTAAAAAATGTGTATGTTTCTAACGTTTTTTAATAATTTTGCTTTCCAAGTAAAGCTGTTGTTTCTTAATTATTTTTTCCTAAGGAAAGATACAAAGTAAAAAAACCATTCAAGTGTAGATCAACCCAAAAAGAGGAGTAGTATTAAATAAAATAAAAAAGATAAATGACAATCAAGATAGCCTCTTAATTCTATCACAAATTGCATATATTCTTTTCACAATTATAATTGAAAAGAACGTTGATTGTTTTTCTTTAGATGATCATAAAAAATAGATTATGACATTATTTTCCTTGAAAGTTTGAAAGTCCACGAAGGGGAAACTTTTCGTACATTACTTCCAGCTTATAGTTTCAGTGGTTTAACTCAATGTAATTATTTCAACACTGTAACAAGGGATAATTTTTCTCAGAGATTTGTGTTTCAGTAAAAGTAAAATGTCTGAAATTTATTTCCATGTATGCATAAAAAATATTCTGAACTTAGGCAGTCAACATGCACACTTTTTATTTAAAAATGATATGAATAAATAAGGTTTAAATGAGTAATGATAACTGCTACTGATCTCAAGCTTACAATTCACTTCATGATTTAAGTCCATTAAAAAAAAAAAAAAAAATGGGACTTTAGCAGAATTTTTTTTTACATACTTAGCATTGGATGTATAAGAACTGCAGAGGTAGTAGTTGTGGTAATCTCTAATCATAAACAGGAGTGGATGAAGTTGAAATGAGCAACGATAACGGATATCAACTTTTGACTTACAATTCACTTTGGAATTCAATGCCATAGAAAAAGAACAGAACTGCAGACTGCTTCTGCTAAGATAACGCCACAACTGTTAACTCTAACGGTTCTGACATTTTTCACAGACAAGAATGATTGGGAAACTAAATCCACGATTGAGAGACTTCAACGCAAAAGTAGAAAAATAAGAAAGTTCATGTGAATCAAGAAGATAGCTTCGACTTATTCAACCAATAAACCAGTTCCCATGTAAGTGTCGACTGAATTAATTCCATGGTCCTGGCTCCCCAAAAACGCTAATTTACAAAGTGCTACTTCCAAAAGCTTTAACCATAACAATTCCAAAAATCAACTTCAGAGTAAAATTCACATTTTTTTCTGAAACTGCGCTGCATGCTGCAATTATCTAGCGATAGCAGGGCTCCATCGAATGAAGTTTCTAATACTACACATCGTACGCCTAAGCGTCTTAGATTTTGACTGATCACTAGGAACATCTTATTCTTCCTGACCTGAAAGCGCTAAGTAATATACATGTGTTTAAACATTTGTATATTACTTAGCACATTCAGCTCAGGAAGAATAGAGTATTCTTAGTGATCAGTCAAAATTGAAGACGCTTAGGCTTACGATATTTACTATCAAAACTACTGTCATTGCATCTTCAGAAAAAAAAATGTGAGTTTTAATATGAAATTGATTTTTGGAGTTGTTAGGATTAAACCTTTAGAAGGTAGCACTTTGTAAATTGTTGTTTTTGGGAAGCCAGTGCCATGGAAATAATGTAGTCGAAACTTACATGGGATCCGGTTTATGGGTTAAAAATAAGTCGAAGCTTTTCGTTTATCTCCATCAGTGAAGGCAACATTTGGTTTGTAGGAACTTTCTTACTTTTCTAACTTTGCGTTAAAGTCTTTGTACCGGCGTCGTGCCGTATGTGTAGTTTAATAATTTACGGTTCGATTGAATATTGAACTTAGGTTGTTTAAGTGGAGATGCACGACGATGATAGAGGAATCGCAAGCAATATAACTCAAGTTCTGAGCACCTGAATGCCTAAAAAATGTGTTTTCTCGTGTTATTTTCGATTAACGTAGGAAGTGAAACACAACTCAAATTTGGTGTTGATTTTGATACCCAGTTGTTATTGAGTTTGAAAAGTTAGGTTTTTGACGTCATCCACCGCGGTGGTGACACACTTAGCTTCTTCCTCTTCTGTTTGATCAGTGATGCAGAGGGTGCAACGCGAAAGTTCAGCGGCGTCAAACGAAAACAAACAGGTGAACTGACTGACCGCCTAAGGTCTTCGCGGCAAGTGCTTTATCTCCTGATAATAAGATCTTTACAGTGCAAATCCGTCTGTTTCTTGAGTTTGTTTACGTTTAACGTCGTTGAAGTTTTACGTTGAACCCTCTGCATCACTGATCGAACAAAAGAGGAAGAAACCAAGGGTGTTACTGCCGCGGTGGATGACGTCAAAAACCTGACTTTATTCCTAGGGCGATATCTTGGTTAATATTGAATGGAGAAAGTTGCGGTTTGGGCAAAGCTTATCATTCTTCGCTAATCTACAAGAATCAAGCATCAAAACACGATTATGTGACCAGATTATGTGCAACTGACCTATTATGTGACACTGGAAAAAAAAGTAGCTTGGATCAAGCCTGATTATTCTTGAATTTGCCGCCAAGAATTTTTCTTATCTTGCTTTAAGCTGACTTTTTCTTGATACAAGAAAAATAATGCTTGGGTTAAGCTAAAGAGTAGCTTATATTAACCAGCAAACTTCTTGATTTAAGAAGAAATACTTCTTGGCGGCAAATTTAAGATTCTTTTTTTTTCAGTGGACTTTTAGCTTAATTTTTATGTCATTCACTATGTCTTATGTGTTTTTATTTCCTCTGTGTTGGATGATTTTAGTTAAGGCGTCCAATTAAAAAGTTTATTGGGACGCTCGCAGCCTGCGCGGCGGGCGCTGGAGAGAGTAATCCGAGTTTACACTGATTACGGGCTCTTGCGGCGAGAGGGGTGGGGTGGGGGTGGGTAGGGGGCGCGGCGCGGGGTGCCCGGAGCGCGGGAGCAGCTACTTGTTTCGTGATGGGGCGTGATTCCCGCGCAGGACTCAGGAGCACTAATCACCGCTTCCCGCGGCCGCGGCCGGTGTAGCGTGGCCTCAAATGGCTACCGGGCTTTTTTAATTCCTCCTCAGTGACTCCCCGTCTTACGCCGCACGCGCCTCAAGTGCATGACCACCGCCGTCCATGACTCCATCCGCCATGCTCCGCTGGCAAAATTACCGGGCTCCCGTAGTCGGCAACCGCTACTGGTTCTTCTCTTCGCTTACCGCCCTCCGCTTTGGAGCATGGAGGGATACCCACCAACAGAAAAGCATTGGTCGGCCATCTTAGCTCCGCTTCTTCAAACCCTCGCGATTTCCGCCGTAGAGCACATAGAGTCGTAATGTAAGTGAGAGAGCTGGCGCCACTTTTAAGCATTTTCCAGGTCCCGAATTCAGGAACTCGACTCCTGTGTGACGCCGGGTCACTTTCAGACAGTGGCGATTTCAACAAGTTGGCAACACTGTTAATGCTCCATTTAAATCCATGGAATATATCGATTCTTAGTAAGTAGGCTTTCACACCTAGAATCATTGTTAAACCAGATTTAAACGGAGAAAAAAAGTATTGCCAACTTGCAAGAATCGCCACTGCATTCAGATGTTGCCAAAATTTCTCTGATGAAATATTCAATCAAGAAAAATATCATGCATTTTTTTCCTTTAAATTTGTTAGAGCATTAGATCGAATCGCATACAACAACCTCTGGGACATCAGACACCAGCATATTGCAATGGACCACACGCAATGGAGATGTTGTATGTGTGAGGAATTTACGATTTGACTATTGATTCTTATGTAAAAGTTCGCGAGAAACACAATAGTGTCACTGGTTTTCCCTGAAATCAACTCCCAAGCTCAAAAAAAAGCTCTCAAAGTTGAGGGCGTAATGGAGGGAATATTCCACGCTATCCAAAGAGTCCACCTCTATATCAAAACAAACTCCCCATGCAAAGATAGGGAACAAATATATTTACAGGGCTGCCACTATATTTGGGGACTCTAAAACTGAAAACACGGCAACCCTGCTAATGTATTTGCTCCCTATCTTTGCATGGAGGGTTTTTCTTGGTGTAGACGTGGACTCTCAGGATAGCAAGGGATATCTCCTCCATTACAGCCTCAACTTTGAGGGCGTTTTTTGAGCTTGGGAGTTGATTTCAGAGAAAGTCAGTTGGACCATGGTGTTTCTAGCAAACTTTTACATAAGAATCAAAAGTCAAATCACGAATTCCTCACACATGCAACATCTCCATTTCCGAGGAAATTGTGTGTGTCCTCCTGAGTGCATTTTCGTGGTCACGAAGTTCGTAAGTTCGTCGTGTTTTGTTATAGTTTATAAGTGTTTGAGGGAATAAAGTGTGATCCCCATCAAGGTCGTCTTACAAGTTATTTCCCCTGTATTGAGCTACGCTGCGCCCCCAAAACAGACAGGCTCAGGGCTCCGAGACCCAGTACTTGACTCATCCCGGGTCCATTACAATATCATTGACATCTTTAGAGTAGAGGCTAGAAAAAATAGCTCTGCTCCTAGTTAATAATCAGTAGAAAAGAAAAAACAGAAGAAGATGGAGAGGGAGAGGGAAAATGAGGGGAAAAGGAGAAGGAAAAAGAGAAGGTAAAAGAGAAGGAGAAAGAAAAGAAGAAGGAAAAGAAGAAGGAAAAGGAGAAGGTAAAGGAGAAGGTAAAAGAGAAGGAGAAAGAGATGAAGACGAAGCAGGAGGAGAATAATGAGAAGAGGAGAAAGAGGTAGAAGAAGGAGAAGAAGGAGGAGAGGGGATGGGAGGAAGAGAAGAAGGAGAGGGAGAAGAAGGAGAGGGAGAAGAAGGAGGAGAGGGAATGGATGGAAGAGAACCAGGAGAAGGAAGAGGAGGAGGAGAAGAAAGGGGAGGAGAAGGAGGAGAAGGAGAAGGAGAAGAAGGAGAAGAAGTAGGAGACGAAGGAGAAGAAGAATTAGTAGAAAAATAAGCAGTAGAGTAAGAAAAACTCTGACAATTTGGGCGAAAAATGACA